TTTTTCTTTTATTCTAGATGACAGAAACACACTGAGTCTATTTTTGCTGGATCCATTTTTTTATATATATATATATATATATATATATATATTTGGAAGCAGATGGATCCAGCAAAAATAGACTCAGTGTGTTTCTGTCATCTAGAATAAAAGAAAAATAAAAGAAGAAAAGCCCAGTTCCATCTACGAACAATCACAAAGTAAGACCTGTGAGCTCAAAAATCGCCTTAACTAATGGACACTCTTGCAACGCAGTGCATTTTTTGTAACTTGAAAGCTATATCCTAAAGCAAGCTAAAGTCCTTATAACGTATGTACAGTACAATGTGCAAAATATGTCTCTTGAGGATCAATCTTACACCGATCAGTTTATGTAAATCTCTCTCTCTCTCTCTCTCTCTCTCTTCATTATGATGATATCATTATGACTATTTTTTTTTTCAGTTTTCTTCATTTCTCATTCTCTTTAATGGCTTATGTTATTCTCCTTGGTGAGAAAATAGCAGTCTGTCTTGTCGCAGTGAGAAATGGCTAATTTCTATGTCGATTTTATGGTAACTATTTGTACAATTTTAAAAGTTCTTATTTTAGTATACATACAAATATCAGTATTTCAACATGTAAGGAAAATATTACAGCATCACACTTATATTTTATGAACATTGTACTGTTGCTTTATTATGTGCTTCAATCTAAGAAGCAAAAACTTTGAAATAAATGCTTTTTTTATAAAAAATTATCGATGGTGGTAAGAAATTTGTGTGAACACAATGTATCAGCGCTTTGCACAATGTGTAACCATTGTAGCACAACTCATGACGGAAACACAAAGGTTGAATACGAATGCAGTGCAGTACATGAATTGCATTTACACTCACAGAGACATGCAGAGCTTTTCACCGGCCACTTCTTTGCTTTCCAGTGGTAGGTCTCTCCATTGTCTCCCAGCAGAGAGGCTCGCATTCTTTCCTTTCCCAGGGTAGCCGCACACTGAAAGGTCAATGTGCACTTTGTTAAAAAAAAAGAAAAAGAATGAAAAGAAAAATAGTTTTACATAAAACCGAACTTCAGCCACCTGAATGAGATTGGACACCAATTGCCCTGAAGGGGCTTGGGAATAAACAGATGAGCACTGCTGCAGGCTCTTCTCGCCCATGCAGGAAGACTACATTTGCCGTAATCGTGTATGAAGTGAAGCACAGGAAATAGCCTCTGATGACAAACCGTTTCCTGTGGAACCGTAGCCCTTTGCTATCCTCCATGGAATCCTGGGTGTCCTTAACAAGCAGCTAAAATGCATGCCCTTTAAAAATACTGGTTTTGGTTTATTCCACCGGTGTTATTGTCAGAAAGGATATGGCTATCTGTGCTTCTGAGTAGGAAAAATTGTCACTCTGCATGAGTTTTTCTTGTCATGTCTCTAGACGTGTTCTGTCAAAGAACTACGTGCGAGTCATCGGAGGCACACTAGCAGCGGGTGGCATCCGCTTCTTAGCTGAGTAGTGATTTCGAACCAGTGGTCTACAGATACATGCCAATCGCAATCGCCAGATTTCCACCAACACGGCTGATTGTTTTGGAATCTGGTTTACTGTTTCTGAAAAACGCCCTGTGTGGATTGTATAAAATTTTGTTTGAAACGTAATCGTCATATTGAGTACAACAGCCGGGTTCCGGAATTAAAAATACATGTCAATCAATGCTATATGCTTTTGTTGAAGGCATCAGTTTGCTTTATTTCAACTTGTGTTTTAAATTATCATGTTTAACAATGAAATCCCTGGTGAAAAACTGCATTACACATGATACTGTAAAGAATCCCACCAATCGAGAGATTCACAGCAAGCAAATCGCATCAAACGTCTGCTGAGCTCCGCCCACTCCGATGAAGCACGGCAAATGATTGAATCGAATGTCACTTGCCTTTCAAAACACTGAAATATTTGAATACTGCTAATTACACAGCCTCACCTTTAAGTTGTGCCCCCGCAGAGTCACTTGAATTTACTGAGCTAATCAGCCCCAAAGCAGTCTCGTGGTATTGCTTTAACTTTCTGAAATCTTCTTTAAACAAACACACTGGCACTCAAACCTAGTGGGCTGCCTAGGTAGGGACCATTTTAAGGCATCATAGGCACACTCCTAACATGAAGCCTGTTCCAAATAGTAGGGAGCAACATGCTGCCTTCTAAGATGGCTTATTTTGGTATTCTAAGGAAGCATAGAGTGCAACACTTAAGTGTAAGAAGTAAAAACTCCATTGATTTTCTTCACAAGGAAATTTATTTTTAATGATAACTTATAAACCTTTAAAGACAAATCTGTTGTGAGCTCTCTCAAAATTCTTAAATATTTGTATGTATATGCATATTTTGCAATAAAATATATTGTTTCTATATATACAATCAACAACTTTAAATGGATATTTTTATATTTCTCCTTCAATTTTTTATTTGATTATGTCATTCACAATGGTTCATGGGATTCTAGTTCTTTCCCTCATAAAAGCCGTTAAGAACACAGTCTTGCACCTTTTTTCAGATTTTGAATAACATTTTGCTTCAAATCCAAGTTTGTATTGTTGTTCACCTTGTAGCTGGTTGCTTGGTTCGTGTCTTATAGACTTTTTCAAAATCCCTATGGGGAAAATAAATGGATAAAATACTTCTGGAACCAACAACGCTGAGAAAGGGAGGTTGCATTCTGTTGATAAATACAGAAAGCACAAGAGGTAACTTTCGAATTTACACACAAAGGACTGAGTTGTTTTTTTTGTTTTTTTTTATCACGTGTCACCTTTTTTGATTGGATGAAGCCTTCTGGTTAAGCGGTTCTCTCAACCAAACCCACATGTCATTAGTCTGACTGCTCTGGTCATTATCCTGCCACCCTCTGTGCCCTCTAGGTCCTACTAACAGGGCCTGGGTGATTCCTATAACTTCTGTCTCTCCTCATTGTCTAGGGAGTGGATAGGGAGGGGTAGACTGCAGCTCTGACTCGTATCTCAAAGATCTATACAAAAAGTGTCAGATTCTTCCCTGGGAACTATGAATCAATAGTTTCTTCCTGACACTGGCGCTGCAAGCATTAAGTGTGGTTGGGTGCACTGCGATGTACCTGAGATAGAGAACAGGGTGGAGGAGGCTGATTCAGACCTACACCAAAAAAAAATAAATAAATAAATAAATGCTAGAAACCTAGAAAATCCTAGAAATCTTTGCATATGACAGCTTCAAGCTCAAAATAGGGGTGAACTCTCTGTGTAAATGTCCGAAACACTACAACTAATCAACAATGCAATGCATACCAAAATCAATTCCAGTGTCAATGAGGGTTCAAGATCAAAATTATTTTGTAAGAGGGTCACATTGTCTCATAGCAGCTGTGTATCTGTATTCTATAGCCGAGGGGCAGTTTGCAACAAACAGATTCTCTGACTGTTTGTGTATGTGGGTGTTTGGGTGTGAAGCATATCGCACCTCCACTGTATCTCCTTTATAGTGCTTAACAGTGCTTTATGAACAAGTGAGCAAATATTAGCCTATTAGTAGTAGTA